TTAATAAGCGGATGTTAATTAGAGAAATAAAATTTCAATTTAACTTTCTAAGTGCTATTTTTATTGATGTTTGTTCTTTATGACAGATTAATTAAATTTTTATATTTGCAAAAAATTGCACCAAAACTTTATGATTAAATTTTGGTAAGATTTTATTCCATTAAAAAATTCAATTTAAACATGCACTTGTACAGAATTACAAGAAAGGAATCGTGGAAAATACAAATAGAATAAAATTAAACGGTTACAGTATGGTTGAAAATGAGATGAACTGGCCAGAGGTGAATGAATGAACAAATCGGATTATACGAATTGGATTAATGTTGAGATTTGTAGACGCAGTTTGCAATGTAAATAAAAATGCTCAGTTCAAGTGGAATTTATTTTAGCCTATTCCCATAATAAAATCCCGGAGAAGGGAAAACTTTTTATGCTTTTCAAAGAGTCGATTTTTTCTCTGACAAATATTCAATACTTCTCAAAATTCAGTTCTATCACTTTCCATTTCCTATTTTCATCTGCGATACTTGGCAATTTATTTGATACTCTAAATAAGATGCTAAGGCATTTATTTAAAAAAAAAAAGAGAGAAAATGATCATAGCATTAATAATTGATTGGTATTAAGGAATGATCAAACATACTGTAAATGTAAAAAGCTTTTAATTTTGTAATTTTCCATATGAGAAGGATTACTAGATTTTTAGTATTGCACAAATTTAGATCTTAAAATTATAAAGTATAATTAAATTTAAATAATTTCCATAAAAATTAGAAAATATAGCAAACGAATTGAGATACGGCATCATATATAATTACATGAAAGAATAACGTAACTTCATAACTTTACGATTAGAAAAGTAAAATGAAAAAGATTGAAATTTTAAAGAGATTAATTAATTGGTAAAAGTAAAAATTAATAAAATCCAATAACTTTTAACTATTCTATTTAGAAAAAAAGATATATAATAAGCAGAGAAAATTTTTTGATATCATTCACAAATGTTATATTAATACAAATGCGTCCCAAAGCTCTAAGCGCATTTGTATTGTGTAAAAAATAAAATATGTATTGAAATAAAAGCCTGAATAAAAAAAAATGAATGAAATTGCAGAGTTGAATTTCTACTAAAGTTTCTTCCGTCTGCAACATATGGCAGTTAACACTGAAATATGTATGTGTGTGTGTGTGTGTGTGTGTGTGTGTGTGTGTGTGTGTGTGTGTGTGTGTGTGTGTGTGTGACATCTCTTCAGAAATGGTTGTAAATACTGTTTTCATGTAATAAGCGATATGATCATAAATTATGTGAAGGCGACAAATCCGGAAGTATTAGAAAGGCGCCGATGGGATAAAAATAAATAATATCGTTCATTATTATTAGGCTACCGTCATCGATACAGCAAGCTGCTGGTTTGTTGTGTAAGGTTAATTCGAATTAGAAATTGATGAAATAAGGATTGAATGAATGAATGCTGTGAATATGTAAAGCAAATGATGGAATAGGAGAATAAGTGCCATGAAATGAAATGAAATGAAATGAAATAAAATAAAATAAAATGTAGGCAGATGGTAGTGAAGTAAATCATTTTAAAATTTTTAGATGGCCCTAAATGATTTCCATCCTTTCGAGATTCTCATCAACAATAAACTTTCAATGGAAAATATTGCAGGAGAAATGCTTTTATTTGAGGAGTGTTCGGAGAAAGAAAAAAACGATAATAAATTGAAAATGCTTACTTTATTGAATTTTAATAATGTTATTTTCATCGATAGTATGCCAAATTGTTTTTTTTTTCTCATTTCGTTTAATCCTTTTGTTTTTATTTTTCCTCTCATTCATTTCGATTGATTTTTCTTTTTTTTTGTATATAACAAATTTATTTCAAAATTAATTCAACATTTCAATTTAAATTGTGACCAATGATGGAATTCTGTCGATAGTTCAATGAGTAATTGCTCAATTTCGACAAGAAAAACGATCCGGGTTCAACTCCCACAAACAATAACCACATTATTTGAGATTTGGTTCGTTTATGTTGAAGGCATAATTTGGTGTTTCCCAGTGATGATAGATTTGATCACAGACCTGTTCTGAGAGATAAGCCATGTTGATTGATGATCTCATCTGAGGGGTGCCAATAAGAATTATTTGGAGAGATGAGAGACGAAGAAAAGAGCTGATTCAAATATGTACATATATTTCTCTTGCTAATTTAAATGGACCATGACAAGCAAGCAAGTCAAGGCCAACATTTCGAAATGCTCACCGTTTCTGTCCTAATGACCATTGGTCTTCAAATCCATACAAAAGAAAAAATGACTAAATGAATGATAAACAATGTACAGTAAAAGCATGAAAAATTGTGGGATACGGAAAAAAATTAATAAAAATACTGGCAATAAAAATGAAAGGTTAAAGAGTAATCTTATGTTGTTACATCTACAAATCATATGTATTACAAATCTTTTTCTATTAATTCCTGAATAAATTATTTAAAACTTTAATGGTTGGAATTATTTCGCTGAATACGTTAATAATCTGTCAATACAATGTAAGTAATTTAACAATACAATTTCAAATATTTATTTTAAAGCAACAGACAAGATGAAGAAATGTGTCGAAATATCCTAAATAGAGCAGAATATACTGTATGCAAATCTCAATATATTTAAGATATATATACATATCTCGGCACATTTAATAGTTATTGTAATTAAAAATATATTAGTATGATTCAAAAGTAAAAACGTCTCGACAAGAACAGCCAGAATTGAGCAAAAATATATTTATATGTCTGATAGGAAGGATATTTTAACAGAGAATGATTCGAATCTCAAATAAATAATTGACGCTGTCACATGGAAACACGAATTTAACAGCTATTGTAATTAAAAATATATTAGAATGATAGAAAACTGTTAATAAATGATATCACAAATATTATTTATTATCTGCGGATAATTATCACATTTTATGATCACCAAAATGAGAGGGAGAGAAAAGTGGACGGGAAGAGATGTAGGAGGATTCTGAATCTTTTTTTTTATTCTTCAAGAGTTTGCCATCAATGATCTCCAGTTATTGATGTATCTTTTTCAATTATCTTCATCTTTAATGTCATTAAATAGAACATGACGTTGCGATGAAATTCCCTCATTTGACGCACCTTCAACAGCTGCTACGTGTGAATGATCGTTTACATTCGTCATTTTATCCACGTTTACCTCCGGTAAAACAAATGAATTAGTATTGTAGAATGATGCATGAATTAGAATCAATATTATGCTAATTCCTGAAAATTTGATACGTTTTTCAGGAATGAAAATACTAAATTATGTGAAGTTATTTTGAAAGGCTGTTGTTGATTAAGAAAGAAGGGAATATTTGAAATTAATGGAATTGAAAAAGAATTAAATATTGAATAGGAAGAAAACTTAACGATTGTTTTACTTTATGACAGTGTTATTACTCAATAAGACTACCTAGAAATTTCACGTAAGTCAAAACTTTGGAGCTTTTTTTTAAGCCAAATGAAAAAGCAACAAACAAACCCATTGTGCAGTAAAGAATATATCCAACTTCGGCGTAAATAAATAATGGCAAAGTTATGAATATTGCCGCAGCGTACAATATCCAAACAGGAATCTGAAGAATGATACATTATAATGGTTGATAATTATGATGAATATTCTTCTTGATTATACAGGTAGGATTGTTATTTCATAAAATGGATAAATTAAAAAAAAGATTATATAATTTAAAAAATGAAATGAAATAATTGCAAATCAAACTTCTTCAGTGCCAACTTTAATTGGTCCATCTTTAGTTTTCGTGTAAATCAAATACACTAATATTCCAAGCAGAATGGATGATAGCAATAGCCAAAATGATGTTATTATGCCACAAATCTGAAATGATAATTTATTTTATCAATGAATATTCGCTGATAAGAAGAAATGTATTGTAATATATAAAAAATAAAAACCATTAAGATAGCACTGATAACAGCATAATTTGCCATAAATTGGCTAAAATTCTTCTTCACACTTCCAACATATCCATTAATGGTGGATGGAAAGCGAAATTGAGAAAATCGAAAGAATTCAGGCCACGGCTAGAAAAATAATTCAGAAGTGAAATAATTTATAACATATGAAACATATGAAAATGTATTATTAGCTACAATTATTTGAATTTTAATTTTGTAATATATATTTGAAAAGAAATGTTGATACTATCAATATTTTGCTAATTAATTTATAAATAATATCTATCTATTCTGGCTATACTATATTCATATCTAAATGTACCTTAACAGCTTTACACCATGCTCGAATATCATGAAAAGCTCGAAGATTGGTGGCACACTGTACATCACGGAAATCTTCGCCTGCATCTTCGCTCATAACGTCTACAGTAAAATTGCTTTAGCAATTGTTGGAAAAAAAATAAAAAAAAATTATTTTAATCAAAAAATGAACATGATAATGGATTTTAATCTTTTCCATTTTCTTTCTTTCTAATTCAATTAAAAAAAAAACAAATTAATCCTTGAAACAATACTAATTTTTGCAAGTTAGAATTGTTAAAAAAATTCCATTTTTGAGAAAACTAAAAGTTATAAAAAAAAACATTTGCAAATATTATTTTAATTTAACACTGAAAATCATTAAATGATCATTGTTACAAGCTAACAGAAAAGGAATGACCAGTTTGAAAGTGGCTATTTTATGATTCATATTATGTTAATTATTTTAGAATACAATCTTTCTCGAATAGAATAAACATGGATATGTGTTTATAGGATAAATAATACCGCAAGGAACAAATCAAACGATAGTGGTTACAGTATATTACACTGTATTTAAGTATTTATAAGTGTAGAAATTTAAATTTTTGAAAAAAAACCTCTTAATTAATAATTGCTACACTTAAAATGCACTACAATTATTATTACTTGTAATTTTATTGAGGCATATTTATATCATTTATAACTTAAATAGTTACTTGTTAATTGTTCAAATAAAGAATAATTTTAGGACGAAAAAAAACTTACTTTTAAATTTCATACTTATTTCAATGAGGATAGAAATCAGTAAAGGAGTATTTATGTTCGATGATTTAAAATGAATTTAGCGAATGTACGAGTGAGATATTGAAATGCAAACAGCAATAATCTACCAATGCTACATTACTGCTTGCTTTTGTGGCATAAAAATTTGCTAAAATATAAAAACAAAAGATGAAACCAATTCCAACTATTTTTATGAGCTTTTCCTCCTAAATTTTTTTACTCCATTTTGCATTTAATGTTTGAATATTTCCACTTATTCATTATATTCTATTACATATACCATTTACCATAGGCCTATCTAATCATTATATGATAATTAAGGATTACCACAGTAACCCATTCAGGTAAATGAATATCTTCATCAACTGATTACTAATAAAGCGAATAAATTATCAGTGATATAATTTAATAGGTATCATATGTAAGATAAAAATGTTCAATGTTCTTTTAACTGAAACCTTTCATTTTAAAGTGATATTTGAATAGAGTGAGGGCAGAAAAAATATTAATGTTGATGGGGCTTTGCCTTAATAAAGATCTAAAACTTTAAATTGATGATTTAAATGATTTTTGAATGAAAAAAAAGTCATCTCTAAATTATTTATTGTTTTTCTTCAATAAAATTCCTTTTAAAACGAAAAGAAATTTTTATCTCAACTCATTAATCTTACAAATGTTAAATCTTATGATAAAATGTTATCCTGATTAATAAAAGTTAAATCCTATTTTAGTAATACTATGTTTCTGCGTAAAATGACAAATTGAGCTATGAA